GTATTCAAGCGGTAACATGTCCAGTAATAGATTCTTTATTGTTGATCATAAATCCATGTGAAATATTGTAGAGATTTTCCCTTACACTGTGCTTTGAAATGAAAATCTGCAACCCCATAAACCTATCTGGTAAAATGCTTCATCAGTTTATTGCAACCAGAACATAGGTGTGATTTGCAGCTGTAGCTGTACATTTACAATTATACAGTCATTCTAAGCGAGCGTCACTACAGCACTACCATTCATTTTCATTAGTGATGTAATGTCACCCTAAAGTGATACTAGACACACACTGTTTAACTTACATTATCCCTTCTCTTTCTGTATGTGGATGATGTGGCTGTAATTATTTTAATAAAAAATTAAGTACCTTTTTCCTAATCAATATACAGCTGTCACATGACCCAGCTCTTTCCCAGCTTGGCTGTAGGAGCTTCAAGTCCTCTGCTGCCGATCACATGTTCAAAATAAGAAAAAAAAAACAGCCTTTGGGATAAAGAGCAAAAATAAATAAAAATAGCAATAAACTGTTTTAAATGGTCAGACAAATATATTTGAAATCAAAGCTTTATTATTTTTGGCAATGACATGGTGTGGGTGGATTTCTGCCCACCCCTCCAGCCTGTTTCTTAAAATAACAGAGAGGTAAAGCCTCCATCCGTCAAGATGTAATATCGCACCTCCATTGTGTTTAGCTGGCTAGTGATCATGGAGGAGGAGGAAGGGAGTGGGCTGTCATTTACCACTGTGTATAAGTCCACATGTGTGACTCTATAATCACATGGGCTGCTCAGATACTATAGGGAGTAATTTCTTAGCATAGAAACTCACTGAAAACTGAGCATGTGCAGTAGCTGCCAACACTGCTCTGCAAAATCCCCAGCTGCATTGGGGACATGGACAGAAGGGGTAGAAAGAGAAAAGCAGGATCAACCAGGTTTTTTGCAGAAAACGAATGAGTGAGCATAAATAGCATGTAACACAGCATTGATAGTTTTTATGATGTGGGTTTAGTGACACGTTAAGTGCAGTCAGCTAGTATCTCTGGCTGAGAAACAGAGTTTTCCTGGACACCCTTATTACAAATCCTGCACCCAGGGTGAAAGAAAACCATGTTGTAGCTATACTGTACATTCATTCAAGCTGGGATCCAGAATATTTGGCATTTATTGTCATGTATTAGGGATTCCTGAAGATGTGTTGGGTGTACACAGGACAAAGTATTGGAAGTATTGTACACAACCCTTTTACATTTAAAACATAACATGAATGCCAATTATCTAAATAACTATGGCCGTGATAATTGCAAGGAACAAAAGTTAATAGACACATTCCATTCTTTAATTGCTTTTGTAACCCCTAAGTAGTGCTGCTGTTGCGGGGATTGGTGGGGTCACAGGGCCGATCTTTGATGAATGTTGCGACCTTGGCATTCTGAATAATGTGGTGATTTTGATTTGTTTACAGTAAATGCAGAAGCTCATACATGTACATAGCCAGTGACTTTTCTTTGACCTCCGCCACATTAATCTCTGTGTGTTTTTCATTGGCACAATTTCCTTAAAGGCCCCTGATTTATATGATTTAGTGGATATCTTTCAAAAGGTTCGGAGCCATAGCCAGGAGCTGAAAATTACAGAGGATGCTCTTGTCCTGATGTCTACATACACTGACATTGTTAATATGTAATTTCCTAAAATAGCCATGCTTAGTTTTACTTTGTGAACTGAAACAAAAACGTATAGTCAAGGACTTTGCATGCTGGCAGCTTCACTAGGTTCAATGTAGATAGAAAGCACAGTTCCGGAATGTAGGATTTATAAGAGCTTTTGAAATGAGTTGCATTTAGCTGTAACATACTTTCTTTTGTACAAAACTATTTTGTATTCCTGATCATGCAATTATACAAGATCTACATTATGGTTTTGAAAATGCTCAATTGTACGCCACATCACAAAAGCAGAGCATTGATTTTAGGATACAGCCTATTATTTTACTTGGCTTCAAAATGTTTCAAAAAATAAATCTGTTAGGGCTCAGTGACACTCGTAGCTGTCACTGCCGCTTCAAGCAATCGTGGGGGATCTTTTTTAGGCATTCAACAGGCGGCTCGGAGGCGATATGCCCCTTGAAAGACCGCAGCACCATGCAGTTTCAGAGTGGTTACAACACGGCTCCATTAACTTAAAAAAGGGTTTTTGTTGGTGGCGGTGCTGCCTGCCAAACGTGACCTGTGGTACTACTTCCCCGGCTTCAAGTGTAAATGAGGCCTTAGTGTTTACAGTGCAAACTTTTATATGGAGCATGCAGAAATGTTAATTGTGCTTAAAGCGATTCTAAAGGCTTTTTTTTTTTTTCTTTCAATAACAAACATGCTATACTTACCTGCTATGTTCAGTGGTTTTGCACAGAGCAGTCCCAATCCTCCTCTTCTCAGGTCTCCCGCAGGCTCTCCTGATCCTTCCTGTCTGTCGGGTGCCCCCTCAGCAAGCAGCTTGTTATGGGGGCACCCGCTGCTCCATGTGTGCATTCACACACACAGAGCCACGGCTTAGCCCCATCCCCTCTCTCCTCATTGGCTGACTGGCTGTGATTGACAGCAGCGGGAGCCAATGGCTCCCGCTTGCTGTCTTTGATAATGAGGCAGAGACCCGGGACAGCCAAGTCTGTCATTCACATCGCTGGATCGTGATGAGGCTCAGGTAAGTATTGAGGGGGCTGGGGGACATTGCTGCACACAGAAGGTTTTTTACTTTCATGCATAGAATGCATGAAGGTAAAAAACCTTCAACCTTTACAACCACTTTAAGTAGTACCCTGAAATATATATATATTTTCTTTTGAATAACTACTGAAAATTAGTTCCTGTGCCTAGACATTCCTGTGCATTTAGCTGTGTATGTGCAGTTTTAGTTTACATTTAAAGTGTTACTAAACCCAGGACCCTGCATTCACTATATCTGGTCTCCCACAGTACACACAACATGGAAATGCAATTATTTTAGTAAATATAAACTGCTAAATACCTTTTCTCATCAGCAGTTAGAGCAGTCTTGTGACTTCTATGATTGTCCAGCAGAGCACTGGTTAAAGCTTGTAGGAGGAGTTGTCCAGCAGAGCACTGGGTAAAGCTTGTAGGAGTTGTAGGAGGAGTGTACCAAGATGGCTGCCTCTGCACAGTGCTGAATAAAGCATGGGAAGTCAATAATGGGGGAAAGATCAGCCAGAGAAAGCACACTGCCCATAGCAGTGGTGTATTTAGCTTTTGTGCTGCCCTAGACAACACAAAATTGGCACCCCCCCCCCCATGCAGAAAGAGTCTGGCATTGACCAAGAACACCACTGCCCTCCACCCGAGCCTTCCACTACCAATGGTGAGAGAGATTAAGACACTTACCTTCACAGCTCCGGACATCCCCAGGAACATGAGTTGGGCTGTGCATTCACCGTCATGAAACCCACAGCATCTCTCGGAACCCACCAGGTCCCCATGCCGTGTGTGTCTCTTCTTCCAAAGGGCAGTGCTGCCCCCCCTGAAAAATGCTGCCCTAGGCAAATACCTTGTTTGCCTTGTGGTAAATACACCCCTGCTTACAGGTCCAACAAACACTTGCTGGTGTCATAATAAGGGAAAATCTCTTCACTGGGGTCACTGGCAGTGAGAAAATATACTAAGTGAAATTTCAACTCCTTTGCACTTGACTCAAAACTGAAAAAAAAAAGAATAGTTGGCACACGCTTAGATTTAGGGGATCATGGGGATTGGTGTTTTATTTTACAATAGAAAAGTCTTCTGAAGATAGTCAAAGGATTGCTGCTTTGTTCTCTATTGCTTCTAACCTCTCAATCACCCCGATTTACAGCAACAAAGACCTCAGAACAGACGATAACAACTTACATAGTGTACCAATTATAGATACTGTCTGCACAGGGTCCAGGAGCTCCTGCACATAAGTGGCTCTTTATCATTGACTTCAGTGGAGACTTTGACTCCCCAGACACAGACAGGAAGATATGTTCTACTCTGAAGTTTACAGAGAAAAATGCACATGCACTTTATAGCAGCTTACAAAGAATGAGCGGAGCCTTGCCCATGTAGGCTGCAACATCAGTACTGGGAACTGGCTGATCTGTACTATTAATATGTGTATAATCGGGAAGGTCAGAGGGATGCATTTGGACAAGTAGCATCCTAAAGTATATCTATAGTATTCTTTAGTATTAAACTGGCTAAAGGCTCCTGGGGAACCCGAAAGTTTAAATCTTAGAGCAATGCTGTATGAAGCAGCACTTTTTAATAAAAATACACATTTAAAAGCAATAATGCAAAACAAGTAAATACCCCAAAACAAGTAGACACCCCTTATGATTAAGACCAGGAAGTGATGAAACGCGTCAAGGGATGTGATGTCGGACGTTACCCAGAGGACCGGAAGTAGCAGAGCGGCCATTTTGAAAGTAGGAAAACTATACCTGGCGTTCCTGGAAGCTGTTTCAAGGTTGGAGTAGTGGGAATAATGCGGTTTTTATACTGATATAATGTAAGAGTAACCATTAAAGTGTTTTTTTACAATTTCAAACGGAATTACACTATATGAGTCTGTTCCTTTTCCTATGTATACTATGGAATATTGGTACAATGGAGTATATATACTGAGGTTCTGAAGGCATCTATGTGGACAATACAGCTATATACCCTCTTCTGTAGTAAAAGTGTGCTTTATTACTTATTTGGTAAGGGTATTTAATTCAGACACTTTAGAAGTGCACACTGAATGCCACGGGAAAGTATATTTGTATAGAATCTTTGATTCACAGTGTGTTACACTATCACTGTTGCACAAGTGTTCACAATCACATATGTGATCACGTTTTTTATTTGGAGTGATTAGTGCACATATGTTACATCGTTTATGATTATATCAATTAACTACTTGCCAACTGCAGATAGTCAAATGACAGCTACACTGCGGCCGGCCAGTTCTGGAAGGATGTAATATAACGTCCTCCCAGAACGCGCTATCCTATGGACACAGCTGATCACGTGATGTGTTAAAAGGCCAATCACAGCGGCCTTTTGCCACATGATCAGCCATGTCCACTGACACGCTGATCACTGGGAAATGCAATTGCCGATTGTAGGCTGCACTTTCCTTGCGCTGTCAGAGCGCTAGGAAAGTAGTGCTGAGAACCGGCAGTTGTCAGAGCAGGGATCGGCACCGATCATCAGGGCACTGATGATCAGTGCCCTGATGATCAGTACCCAGCAGTGCCACCCACCAGTGCCGCCCACCTGTGCCCAGCAGTGCACCCACCTGTGCCCAGCAATGCCCACCAGTGCCACCCAGCAGTGCCACACACCTGTGCCCAGAAGTGCCACCTACTTGTGCCCAGAAGTGCCACCCACCTGTGCCCACCAGTGCCACCCACCAGTGCACATCAGTGCAGCCCAGCAGTGCTTCCAGTCAGTGCCCAGCAGTTGCGCCAGTCAATGCCTAGCAGTGCCGCCAGTCAGTGCTCAGCAGTGAGGCCAGTCAGTGCCACCTATCAGTGCTGTCTATCAGTACCCAACATCATTGCTGCCTATCAGTGCCACCTATCAGTGCCGCCTATCGGTGACACCTCATTAGTGCTGCCTATCAGTGCCATCTAACCGTGCCACCTCATTAGTGCTGCCTATCAGTGCCTATCAGTGCTGCCCATCAGTGCTGATCAGTGCCGCCTATCAGCACTGATGGGCACTGATAGGCAGCAGTTGACGTGCTGCCTCATCAACGCACATCATTGAAGGAGAAACATTACCTGTTTGAAAAATTTTATAATAGAAACAAAGAAACTTTTTTTCTTTTCAAATTTTTTGCAATTTTTTTGCTTATAGCTCAAAAAGTGAAGCGCCCAGTGGCGATTAAATACCACCAAAAGAAAGCTCTATCTGTGAGAAAACAATTATAAAAATTTCATATAGGTACAATCTTGCATGACCGCGCAATTGTCATTCAAAGTGCAACAGTGCTGAAAGCTGAAAATTGGCCTGGTAAAGAAGGGGGTATAAGTTCCCGGTAGGCAAGTGGTTAAGGATAGTACACTATTCAGTTTTTCTTGTTTTGAGGTTTACGTCTTCTTTGAAGCCATTCAGAGGGCTCTGCTGAAAGATTTATGAACTTTTCCTTTTGGACCAGAATTTTTGAGTGACTTGATTATTTATGGACACTTGGGTAATTTTTGAAAAGATTGCAACTTTATGGACTTTCACTTATTATTTGAATAATTTTTGGAGGATATATATGTGTAGCACCTAAAAGGGTTTATATACTTAAATAATGCAAAACAGGTTTAGGATGGAAAAAACAATTAGGCTACAGAATAATGAACCCTGCAAAAACATATGGAGGCCGCACCACGTGGACTCTTTACAGCAATGTCTTTTTGACTTAATAAGGGTAAGTCCTCATGCACACGGGACGTTTTTACAGCAGCTGTTTTTGGCTTTTGACATTTTTTTCTACAGCCGGTAAAATCCCCAGCATGTTATCCTATGTGCCCATGCACACATAGACTGTAATCAGCATTTTTTAGCAGGGGCATTTTTTGGCTGGAAAAAAACCCCAGAACTAGTGGATTTCTAGAGCAGTTTTTTTAGCTGTAAAAACGCTCTAATGCTTAAAAACGCAGTAAAACATGGTAAAAACACGGCAAACTGGCATTTTTGGAGTTGAGTAAAAAAAAGCTAAAAATGCAAACACGGAAGAACGCTGCTAAACGCTAATGCAAAAATGCTAAAAAACCACTGAAAAACTTGTGTTTTTAACGTGACTTTATACAGCTAACGCTACCAGCATTATTAAAACGCCCCGTGTGCATGGAACTACACATGTGCTGCATAGCATAGTCTCTATAGGTCCTCATGCACACTGGACGTTTTTCCAGCTGCTGTTTTTGGCTTTTGGTATTTTTTTCTACAGCCAGTAAACTCCCCAGCATGTTATCCTATGTGTCCATGCACACATTGGTTTTAACCACTTCAATACCAGGCACTTTTACCCCCTTCCTGCCTAGGTCAATTTTCAGGTTTCAGCGTGGTCATGCAACACTGTACCAAAACTACATTTTTATAATTTTGTTCACACAACTAGAGCTTTTATTTGGTGGTATTTAATCACCACTGGGGTTTTTATTTTTTGCTAAATTAACAAAAAAGACCAAACATTTTGAGTAAAACCCAAGTTTTTCTATGTTTCTGTTGAAAAATTTTAAAATAAATAATTGTTCTTTATAAATTTAGGCCAAGATGTATTCTGCTACATTTCCAAATCAGTATTTATTATTTAGTCTGTTGGAACGGTTTAGCATCCTCAAACTATGGGGTATATCTGAAAATTGATAAATCCTGAGTACTGACAGCCAATCTAATTTCTTGATGCCCAAAAATGTCAGAACAGTACAGATATCCCCCAAATGACCCCTTTTTGCAAAGTAGACAGTCTGACGTATTTCATAAGAGGCATGGCAAGTTTTTGGAAGTTGTAATTTTTTTTTCATATTTTTTTGGAAAATTAAGAAATAAAAAAATTACTTTCACAAGTATTTTTTTTTTATATACTGTCACCAGTGCAGTACAGTGTCATCATATAACTGGTGTGGTGGTGTTCAGGGACACTGACTGGTGACAGTACCAACGAAAATTTTCAATTTTATAATTTTTTTTTATTACATTTTTTTTTATTTTTTATGATTTTCTTTTCATATTACAGTATGACCAAAGTAGTATAATGTTACCATAATAACATTGTACTACTTTTGGGTAGGCGATCAGCATTTTATTTCTTTTTTTTACACAATGTGATTGTTTATATCAAATAATTTCTTTGCTATATGCAAGCATTTAACTGAATGAAATTGATTCATTCAGGTTTTTTTGTTGTGATTAGCTGTGTCAGCTAATCACCTGACATAGATGGGCTGTGAATGGCCTAGTCTATGCATGTGATCACTGTGACCAATCACAGGTAGTAACACAATTGTATACAATGGATGGCATGAAAGGAAGCCATCCATTGTTTACAACTGTCATGTGATTGGTTACAGCAGGTGACAATAGGCCAGTACACAGATCTTGCCACAGCGCTGCCCTGCGGGCACACTCAAGTCACAATCCAAGAAGGATGTCATATGACACCCACCCGGATCGACGTTTGCTAAAAAAAAAAAAAACAAAACACAGATTTGCCGCGTTTTTCCGTGTTTACTAGCGTTAGAGTGTTTTTACAGCTAAAATATGCCTCTAGAAACCCACTAGTTCAGTTTGTTTTATAGCCAAAAAACGCCCCTGCCAAAAAATGCTGATTAACCACTTCTCGTCCAGCCAATAGGAAAATGATGGCCGGGTGGGAAGTGGTTAATCAGCATAGCTGTAAAAATACTGTAATGCTGGTAAACATGGAAAAAGGTGGCAAAACTGCGGCAAAACGCTAATGAAAAAACGATAAACTTGCGGTTTTAACGTGAATTTATACAGCTAACGCTACCGGTGTTTTGTTTTTAAATGCCCAGTGTGCATGAGGACTAAGACCTAACAGAGAGCCAGGCTGAGAATTAATACTTCAGTAAAACAGTACAGAGCACAGCTACATGTGATTATTGTCATAAACTACATCCCTCATAGTGAAGACCAGGGTAGCTCTAGGAACATAGGTAAAGAGATAGAAGAAATCCAAAGCCCTAGGATGAAGAATCATCCCTCTAGAACTGGAGTTCTCTGGTAGCAATCAGGGAGCGGCTCATAGGGAATATGGGTCTTTGGAGAAGCTGTTTGCTGTTAGGCTCCTGCCCATCTTCCCTCCTGCTGGTTCTCAGAGTGGAGGGCCTCTCACCTGGCTGTAGATCACTTGCCTGTCTACTGCTGCCTTATCAGGTATGGCCTCTATGTGTTGCGCAGAAAGGGAAACTAAGAAATTCATCTTCCCTGGAACTGTCCAGGAAGTTGTGGGAAAAGTTGGGGGGTTAAAGGAGCCACCTTCTGCATCTAAACATGATAAGTAAAGGGGCACTCCAATACACTGGCACAAGCTTAAATAGGGTGGACTCCGTTTCTGCTGTTTGATCTGCCTGCCCATTCCAGAATAGTTCTATCCATAATGAAAAGAGTACACAGAAGTGCATTGCCATCGGTATTTTCAAGGATTCTTTCCAGCTCCTCTTTATTTTTGACATGCCACTGGTGCCAGCACTGCAAACCACAGTCCCAGAGCAGGGCATCCAGATTACCATGATAACAAATGAGTCACACTGCCACTGGCCACCAATTTAATGGGGAAGCAAAATGGAAGAGGATGACTAAAGTCAAGTGTTCTGATTTTAGAGTAGATGAGGGTTCAATAAACTCTTAGGGCTAATGCAGAACTTCCCCATCCAGATCTATATATGTGAAGTGATAGTAGGCTGCATGTTGTTCACAGGTGAGATTTCTAACTGGCAAGTTCTCTTTAAAGTATTTTTGAGATACTCATGAAAGAGGATTGCATATATCATCAATAGTATTACTGTATATATTTCACTAGCTTAGAATATAAAATATCATTGTGAAATCCTCCATTTAAATATAAGTAGCATATTTCCAATGCATGGAAATGTTGTTTTAGCCATTATTTATGTTAAATTATGAACATTTGCTGATTGCACTTTTCATAGTGCATGTCAGTCTTAAAATGCAAAAACAATGCTAATTCTTTCATTTACATTTACATTAAAGTGTATCTAACAAATGATCTGTTTATTTGGTTAAGAAACCTAATTTGAAAAGGTAAGACAGATACAATCAGACAAGCAGACATATACAACCATACAGTATATATAAAATTACTGATAAAGCATAACCAGTTGGGTAGGACAAAATGAACCAAACAAAATCTCCAATAAACCACCATAGTTTAACAATCCGCTGTATTAATACCTTTGTGTTTTGGCTTATGTTGATGGGTGTTAAAAATGTGTGACAATGCATCTTATCATAGATGGGCGTTGACATGCGTTTTGATGCAATAGATTTAAATAGAAAATGCATCAAGAAGGAAATCACACTGAAGTAAATCCAAAACATAATTTAAATGTGATTGTTTCACTTAAATTACAAATCCTCCTGTGTAGTGCACATTTGTTAAGTATTTAATAAGCAATTAACTGTATGTACTGAATTACAAGTGTCACCTTTGTATTAAAGATGAGAGATGAGAATATTTTCAAAAGTCTGTGCAATCTGCTGCCTTGATCCTGTCTACCAGGTTCACCTAAATCAGTCTGGCAAAGTTGTTGTTATGAATGTAGTTCAACTGCTATTTTTTTAAATTATATTTACTTCAAAACAGCAATCCTATACATTAAATGTGGGTTGGAATCCCATGGCAGCTTACAGGCTGTCAGCATGATTGCACAGATGGTATGTCCTTCAATGGCAAAAGATAGGATCTCCCTTCACAAAGAACATGCCCAGTGGTCTTT